AAACGTTTTCAACAAGTTCGTTACCTAGATGTGTACAAAAAAATAGTTACCTAAATATGAACAAAACGAAAATATGAACAAAACGAAAAGTAAAAAATAAATTACACGAATGGTCCCTATGGTTTAGAGTAATTTGTGTTTTTGGTCCCTAACTTATTTTTTTTTTTAAACTTGGATGGTCTTTATTGTTTATTTTTGTTGCGCGTTTGGTTCATGTCTTACCTAATGATACAAATATGTGTGGTCTATTAATTTTTTTTAAATATGTAAAATATAAATACATAAATAAGAAAATTAATTAAAAAATAAATTAATAAGGGCACAATAGTCTTTTTAGGTAAGACAGGAACCAAACGCGCAACAAAAATAAATAGTAGGGACCATCCAAGTTAAAAAAAATAAGTTAGGGACCAAAAATACAAATTCCCCCAAACTACAGGGACCATTCGTGTAATTTAATTTTTATTTTTCATTTTGTTCATATTTACGTAACTATTTTTTTTACACATCTAGGTAACGAACTTGTTGAAAGCGTTTATATCTAGGATTTAACCTGCTAAAGCAGGTCATAATGGTTATATGTGAACACTTCCAACAAGTTTATTACCCAAATGTGTACAAAAAAAAGATAGTTACCCACATGTGAACATACCGAAAAGTTAATTACCTTCATAAGTTATATTCCCTTTCTTTTAATATGAAAGATTCATTGATATTGGAATTGTTAATGAAAATTAGCATTCAATATTAAAAAAATTTATAGTTTATGAATTAATTATCATTGTATTTATTATATAATACATATAATAATAAACCAGATGCCATATTGATGAAGTTTTTATATGTTTTGAATAAACAATTACCATTTTAAAGATTGTGAAGAAAAATTAGAAAGTTTATATTTATGTGGTTTAACATGTTAATTATAATGATCTAATTTGATCTTAATAAAAAACTTGAATTAAAATTTAAATGTCATATTTAGTGAGTTTTATAAAAATCACTCTGTTTCTCTTTATTGATTTAAATAATCATTCTATTGTAATGGTATTTTGTACTTTTTATATATCACGCTTGTGCATTTGGTTTTGAAGTAAAAGTTATATCATTATTTTTTGAATTTTGCATTATTATTATTTTTCGAATTTTATAACAAGCGGAGTATGCATAACCATCAACACTTTCAGTTTGTGACTTTGTATAGTTTGGTGAAGATCATGGCAAAAAGCAAAATTGTTAAAGGTTTTTTATATAGTTTTATTCGTAAATGGTAAATTGGATATATTTATATTTTTAATGCATAATGATGTTAGTAGATTTTGGAAAAGATATTGTGTATAAGTGTATACTTCTGAAATGGTGGATATTTTCAATGTCTTTTGGAGTAATTTTATGGGACTTTGTGTAAATTAAAATTTATTATTATCATATTTTTTATATTTTATTATTATCTTACTTTAATTTACATGGACTCTTTTGCAAATTAAATGGAAAAATCTGCTTATATTAATAAGAAATAAATTGGCACATATAATGAAAGTCTCGGATTATCATAATGTGTAATTAAATAAATTGAAATGCAAGCTTTATATCACAACTCAAGCAATGAAAATACATTAGGTCACATTCATTATCATTGTTTCTTTTCATAAACAAAATTACTGATCATATATATATATATATATATATATATATATATATATATATATATATATATATATATATATATATATATATATATATATAAAAGCGTCTATATTTTTACAATATCAAATGTCTAACTTTAGATAAAAATAATAAAATTAATAAATCATTATGTTAAATGGTTAAAATAATATATAGTATTAATTAATTTATGTAATATAAATATGATCTTTATACGACAAAAATCGTAATGAAGTTCAATTATATTAATATTAATATTAGTATAGAAAGAACATGAGAACATAGACATAAAGTGCAATTGTGTTGGTAAAAAAATAAGTTTATATGCAAAAATTATTTTTTGATTTTGATTTTTTTTGAACCGTCATTTTAGTATTTGTTTAAGATTGAACTCAGGATACCATTGTTATAATTCTAAAGACCAACACAAAGGTTTTCTAAAAGTCATATTTTTCTAAAATTCAATGATCGTATTATATTTTTATTTAATCAAATTGAATAATTAAGTTTTTAATACAAAAAGCAAAGTGGTAAATACAAATCTGTAACATATTTTATATAAAACATTAGAACCAAAGCAAACTATTATAAACCGGTCAAATCAATGTTTAAAATATGAAAATTAAGATACAAGTTAAAACTTACAAGGTCGGAAATATATGAATTTGAAAAGAATGTACTTTAACTTTTGTTTATATCCTCTATCGTTCCATGTCGAGCTTGAATAGCCTAAACCACACCCTTAAACATATTTTCTATTAAAATAAATAATATAAACATAGAGCTAAAGTGTTAAAAAAAAAAAGAATTTCAGCTGCAGAAAAAAGAAAACTAATTGTTGCAAATAAACTTTTTCTCAAAAAGAATTGTTTGTTGCCTACCATCAATGAAACTCTTCCCGAAACAATGCTGAAAGGAAATTAATCGTAAAAAATGTATTATCTGCCGCTGCATCGCGCAGGTATGCTACTAGTATATATATATATATATATATATATATATATATATATATATATATATATATATATATATATATATATATAGGTTCATATATTAACTCTAAATATTGTGTGAATGTTATTTTAATAACAAAATGATTATATATATATATATATATATATATATATATATATATATATATATATATATATATATATATATACTAGCCGTCTACCGTACAAAGCGGCGGGCGGCGAATAATATGATCTCTTTAGAGTTAAAACCATTTTGCGTTCATTTCGAGAAATGAGTATTAAATGACATCTATTTATCAAGAGCATTACCATACCATATTAAGGGGTGTTTGGCTAAGCTTTTTTTAAAACAAATTATTAGGTTCTACATCACTATAAGTTAAAAAAGTGTTTGGATTAAAATAACTTATTCCAGTGAGGAACCTCTAATACGTCATTTTTTTCATAAGTTACTCTACACTTACTTATTAACTTATAAGCTAATAAACTAATAAGCAATAAACTTGTTTGCAAAACACCCCCTAAATGGTTATTACTTCCATTTATACATACTCAAACCACTTGTACTGTTTATCGTCATTTTTTGTCGTTTTCCTTAATTCCTTTATTAATTTAATGTCCTACTAAGTAAAATGCTAAAATATATAAATAATAGTTTATAAAAATAAACCTTTAGAATATCAGGTGTTGTGATTCAAAAGTCGATAAATAGGCATTTGAGAAGGCCAAAATACTCATGTGTCAACTTGTTCATTGTGATTTTAAACCAAGTTTAGTCACAAATTAAAACATTTTCAACGATGGTATGTAATTCAAGGATTCATATTGATTTAGGTTCTCGAAACCTTAAAATATTGAACAAAATCTATATAAAACCTTATAATAAGGACAATAATCACCGTAATCAGGAAGTTCATGTGATGAAACTTGATATTATAAGGACCAATGATGAAAAAGGTTTCATTTTTAGACTAAACAAGATGAAAAATATACAAACTACCTTAATCATGTCAAATCTTGTGTTTAACCGTTCTTTATTGCAAAAGTAAGATGTCAAAATATACAAACTAATGATAATACAATGCTCTAACTGGCCCTCTTGGTTGAGTTCTTTGAACCTACAAAGCCAACACATTAAAGAAACATAATAAAAACCTTTTTAGGAACAAATCTGATATACTAAAGCATTCACCCAATATATTTATAAGATAAAAATACAAAAAGTTAAAAATGATGAAATCAATTACAAGTAAGGATTAAAATAAAAAGCTGTTAAGAAAGAGCCATCTGCAGGAGGGATATTTGAATCAATATGTATTTTCCGATGGTTTCAAATTTTTAATTATCCAAAATTCAGGGAATGAGATAGAATTTGTTGAGAAATATAAGGATTCAAAACACAGGTTAAAATTTAATATTATTTTATTGATGACTACTTGTACTATTAGCTTAATGATTTAAACGTCTTAAAAAAATAATATTATTATATTGAATCTATTTATAAAAATAGTGGGATTTCTTTTATAAGATAGTATATATATATATATATATATATATATATATATATATATATATATATATATATATATATATATTCCTTAAATCATGGACCATTACAGATTTTATGTATTTATCATCTTCTAAAATCTAAACCCTATTGATTTCAATTCATCATCGCTGCTTTACGTTATCAAGTCCATGGTTCAAAATCACCACTTGAGTGTCAACATCTTCAATTTTGTACCGATTCGGCTGTTGATTTGGAACACCAATGGGAACGGCATTGGTAGATGGTACATTAATTTCACAAAATCGACTTCAATCTCTAATTGTTTTTTCCTTGATATCGACCGGTTATCTGTTTCACTAAATTAATTTCAAACACCGATTGCTTTTGTCCTTTTGATCAATTGTTTTTTTTTTTAACTTCTAGTTGTATCAATTAAATAAGGAGGGTGCAAATAATTGATTTAACTCAATGAACTAAAATTGTTGCAAGTTTGTATCGTTGATGGGAAATAACTGGGAATTTGACTTATGAAGGTAATTAAGTATTTTAAATGTTCACATATGGGTAATATTGTTTTTTTTGTACTCATTTACCCAACTAACTTGTTTCAGCGGTTCAAAAATAACCAACATTACCGTCTATTACATGTTTTAGCCGGTAACATTGATTTAGCTCGGTTTAAAACATTACGTGGAATCTTACGTGGCCATTACACCCCTTTCTCATTTAATTAGGGTTCGTCATCGTCAGCTAACACACCTCGATTACCTTCTTCTGTGAGAAATCAATCGATACATCAAATCGACGATTAGGTCTTGGAATTGAAGTTGGAATTGAAGTCGACTGCTAGCATGACATCCTCATCTACAGTTATGTATGTATCTGTAGATTTTCATTACAATGGATTCTTTTCGCCAAACCCATTGGTGTACTTAGACCCCGTAAAAACAAATGTACGTAATGTGGATTTTGGGGGATTTACGTATAAAGAGTTTCTTTTGTGGCTTACGAAATTAACAAATGGAGCATGTGATAATGTCTACTACTGTATGAGAAAGGAAAGCTTGTGTGAGGGTATTAGAAGAATCGACAGTGATGCTGTTTATAGTCTGGAGAGTGATAGTCTTGAGAGTGAGTTAGATGTGTACATTGACCACCGAAATGAACCAATTCTTGATTAGGCTGATAACGAGTTCTTAGAAGATGGTAAAGGGTATGCGTTGGATGAAGAGGATGACAAGGATTCTGAAGTTTCAATGACAATGGAGTATGAACATGAATGGGATGATGAAGATGAACATACTTTTGATAAAACTGTTAGAGACCCATTCTTGGACAAACTTTCAGGGCATATTAGTGATGATGATGAAGAGGAAGCAAACAATGGGAAACTTAAGGATGTTGTGTTCCCTATCGATAATGAGAATCAAGAATGGGAGCAAATGGTGCCAGTTTTGGGTATGAAGTTTTCTAATCCATTGGAATTGAAGTTGTGTATCACCAACTATGCAGTCAAAAATGGATATGATTTATGGTATGAGAAAAGTGATCATGAAAGGTTATTGGTAAAATGTTGTAAAGGTAAGACAAATAAACAGGGTAAAGGTTGTCCTTTTAGATTATGGGCAACCTGGATGAGCAGTGAAAAATCATTCCAGATTAAATCTCTGAATGATATGCATAATTGTGCAAGAGTGTTCAAATTTGGGTCCATTGTTACCTATAAATGGATAGCAAAGCATTTCATGAATCATATACTTCAGAAACCAAAGATGAGTATAAGGAAGTTGAAAGCTAAAGTTAGCAAGAAATTTAATTTGATTGCAAGTGTTGGTCAATGCAGAAATGCAAGGAAGTATGCATTTCAGGAGATAGAGGGTACTTTGAAAGAGCATTATGCAAAAACATGGAGCTATGGAGAAGAGATAAGAAGGACTAACCCTGGATCAACAGTGAAGATGGATGTAGATGTCATGCCTGATGGAACCACATATATCTCAAAGTTTTATGTATGTTTCAAGGGATTGAAGGATGGATGGATTGAAGGTTGTAGGAGGGTAATTAGACTAGATGGTTGCTTCCTAAAGGGCATATGCAGAGGTCAGTTGCTCTCTGCTATAGGTAGAGATGCAAATAACCATATATATCCCATTGCTTAGGCTGTTGTATCAGTGGAAAGTAAAGAAACATGGAAGTGGTTTATTGACCTTCTAATTGAGGACCTTGGAATGGGAGTTGGGCATGGACTAACCTTGATATCAGACCAACACAAAGTAATCAATTTTTATTATTTTCATCTTTATTTTAGCTTATGTTATGTTTTTGTTGTTTAAATTTTGTGTCTATTGCTAACAGGGATTACTTGAGGCTGTGAAGGAAAGGGTCCCAGCAGCAGAGCATAGGCAATGTGCTAGGCACATATGTGCTAACTTCCTGAAAAGGTTTAAGGGCCAAGTGTTTAGAAAGCTTTTCTGGTATGCTGCTGCAGTTACTACCCCTGCAAAATTTGAACAACACATGAATGAAATCAAGAAATTAGAGCCACTAGCTTATGACCATTTGATGGAAAGGGACCCTAAAACTTGGAGTAAAGCATTTTTTAAGACTGATAAGGCTTGTGATGCATATGAAAATGGTATCTCTGAGAGTTTCAACTCTGTGATTGAAGTTGCTAGGAAGAGACCACTAATCACCATGTTAGAAGAAATTCGAATTTATGTGATGGAGAGGCTATATAGACAGAAGATTTAGGGGCAATCTTGGGATTTAACCATATGTCCTACCATTAGGATGAAGTTGTCCAAGCTTAAGGATCTTCAAAGGTAAGTGCTTAAAACTGTTTGTCCTTATATATGTTTGTCTTTAAACATGTTTGTCCTTATATATGTTTGTCTTTAAACATGTGTAGATGGATAGGTTTTGGAAAGTAATACCATCTGGTTATCAACAGTATGAAGTCAGACTTGGGTATGATGCATATGTTGTGGATATTGGTAGTAGGATATGTGCCTGCAGAACTTGGCAGTTAACAGGTTACCCTTGTGTGCATAGGTATGCTTGCATTGCAAGCCTCAACAGGGATGTAGAGGAGTATGCGTCACCATGGTTTACCACATCAATGTACCTAAACTGTTACAGGTATACCATTAACCCACTAAATGTTAGTGACATGTGGCCTCATGTAGACTACATCAGCCCATTGCCCCCCCCCCCCCAAAAGGAAAGGCTACCAGGAAGACCATCAACAAAAAGGAAAAGGGATCAGATTGAGAGGGAAAACCAAGGAAAAAAGCATTCAATCACAAAAAGAGGTAGTGTGATGAAATGCAACATATGTAGGGAAAGTAGGCATAATAGAACAACCTGTCCTCAGAAACCAATTGGGGAATCATCAAATGCAAGTTCAAAGAAAAAGAAATCCAAGAAAGCTGGTATGTTTGATATATTTATTTATATATAACTTGTATAACTTAACATATTTGGCATAACTTAACTTTTCAAGTACTACAAAACAGATAAAGTGAAGGTTGTATTGGCACATGAAGTTGATATTGACAGTGACAGTGAAGTTGAAATAGAACCTGAAAGTGATGTTGACTCTTTTGATCTTGAATTTGAAGATGATGTGCAACCTGAAGTTGAAGATGGAGTAGAACCTGAAGTCCAAGATGGAGTGCAACATGAAGTTCAAGATGAAGTGCAAGCTGAAGTTGAACCTGAAAAGCATCCTGAAGTTCATGATGCTAACCAAGTTGAAGTTCACCTTGCAGTTCAAGCTGAAGTTGAACCTGAAGTGCAAGTTCAAGTTGAAGATGCTAACCAAATTGTAGTTCAAGATCAAGTGGAAATACCAGCTTTTCAAGTTGTAGTGGGAAAGAGGGCAAGGAAATCTTTAGAAAGAATTACAAAACTGAAGATAAGAAAGATGTGGGAGGGAAAACAGGGCAGTAGTGATGACAATCCGTATGAGTTGGATTAACTTTTGTCTTATTGTACTGTTGTTAATGTTTTTGGCATCATTGACTGATATCTTTTAACTTTGGAATCTTTTGGCACATCTTTTGAAAACTAGTTGGAATAGCTTAACTTTTTGCACATCTTTTGGGTGTAATGAATGTTTAACTGTGTTATGTAAAACTTTTGACACATCCTTTGAAGTCAATGTTCCCTGGAATGTCTATAATATATTACCATCTTTTGCACATCTTTCTAATACCATTAGTATTATTTATAATTTATTACCAACTTTTAGAATATCAACTGTAATCACAATTCCTTTACAGTGTAATCATAATTCCATTACATTGTTTGAACAATTCAATTCCAATGATTCACAATAACATTACAAGTTTTGTACACTACCATTCCAATGATTCAATTACCATCTTTTGCACATCTTTCTAATACCATTTGTATTATTTATAATTTATTACCATCTTTTAGAATATCAATTGTAATCACAGTTCCTTTACAATGTAATCACAATTCCATTACATTGTTTGAACAATTCAATTCCAGTGATTAACAATAACATTACCAGTTTTGTACACTACCATTCCAATGATTCAATTCCATAACAATGTTTATTACTATCTTTTATACTACCAAGTTTAATACCCATTCCATTACAATGTACTATTCCATTCCAATGATAGAATATAACCTTTTTCATTGAAAACATCACAAAAGCATACATAATTTAGTCATACTACATCATAATACATAATTTAAAACAACATTTTGACATACAAGAGAAACAAGAAAATTAATGCAAGTCTATGGGTAAACAATTTCCAGTTGACTTTGTCAAGTTCTTGTTTATTCCTGTTCTTCTCTTCTTCAATCTTCATCCTGCATATGCTGATTTCATTCTCCAAGGTACAAATTTTCAAGGTAAGATTGCAGCTTTCTTCTGCTTTCATCCTGTAATGCCCTCTTCCATCTTTCCTCCCTTCATCCTCATCCAACCATTGCCAAAATTTACAGCTTGGACTTTTTCCATTCTTCAAGAAATTTATAAGAACATGTTAAATTTGAAGGATGAAGAAGAAGTAAAAAATATGACTTACCAGTGAGTTTTGACAAACTCTGAATTTCCTTCCAGGATTGTCTGGGGTTCTTGATGTCTTCACACGAGATGGCAAATCGCAATCACATGGATGATCCGGTTGCAATTCGTCTTGTCGTTTGGAAGAAAAGGATGAGGAAGAAGATGCCATCGATCGATCTAGGGTTTTAATTAATAAGCTGTCGTATCTCACCCTCTTATAATGTAAACACTTCTCAATGCCACGTAGGTGATGAGTATTGTAGCGTACAAGCCACGTAGATGCCACATCACCCAAAACCTACAATAGCCGGTAATGTTGGTTATTTTTGAACGGGTGAAACAAGTTAGTTGGGTAAATGAGTACAAAAAAAACAAATATTACCCATATGTGAACATTTGAAATACTTAATTACCTTAATAAGTCAAATTCCCGGAAATAACCTGTTGATTCTTTGGTATTAATAAATTGATTTTACTCAGTCACTTTGTTCATTCATATACACAATTGATTTAATATACAATTCTATTCATTTAGTCACTTTATTCATTCATATATACAATTGATTTAGAGTAAATTACTGAAATCGTCCCTATGGTTTGGTCAAAATTGCATGTTTGGTCCTTAACTTTTTTTTTTGCACTCGGATCGTCTGTATGATTTGATTTTGTTGCGTTTTTCGTCCATGTGGTTTGATTTTGTCGCATTTTTCGTTCCTTACATACATAAAGTTAGGCACCAAACATGCAATTTTTACCAAACCATAGGAACGAAAAACGCAACAAAATCAAACCACAGGGACGATCCGAGTGCAAAAAAAAAAACTTACGAACTAAAAATACAATTTTGACCAAACCATAGGGACGCATTGATTTAATATACAATTCAATTCATTTGGTTAAACTATTCGGATGGTGAATTTCTTTTGTTCAGCACCAACTTTATGAAGTGAAGTTATTTCAAATATATTGTGTTTTAAAAATACCGTTTTTATTAGTAGAGTATGTGTATTGTTTCGTGTATCAAGATCGAATGAATCTATATTTATTGTATAGAATTTTAGAAATGCTTGATCCTCATTCCGTTTTTGTTCCACTTATAGAAACATTATGCGTTCCATGCGACTATGCTCGAGTTATGACTTGTTTCGTGTTAATGGCTTTGAATATTTTTTTCTTTTTCTATAAAACTATAATCTAATTTTTTTTTTAATATAAGTAATTTTCGGGGTGGATAATTTTAAGTGTTTGATAAAAATTATTAGCTCTGTTTTGGGGTCCACCTTGTCATTTTTAAACCTTTATTTCATATAACCTTAAAATTGACATGTTTTCTTTTGTGTTTAGGTACTCTAACATAATTGAGGAGCATCAATTAACAAAGTATATGGACTCAACTAAAAAGTGATGACTTTTCTAGACCCTAGGTTTTTGATTTTTTTAAACACACAAGCAAGGGATAACTGAAGAGGAAAAAATGCGCTCCTTTCTTTAATCGTGAAGTGTTTTCTTCATATGCTCACGAGTTTTTCATAAACACAGTATAATATATATTAATTGTTAAGAGAATATCATATTTGGAATTGTAAATTATGTCCATTCGTACAAGAATGTCATATTTTTGAACTTGTTATTTACCTTCTTTATTTATTTCACGTTATATTTATTTCAATAATGTTAAATTATTCTTGAAAAATATAAGTTATGCACTTGTAATTAGTTTCTTATTCTTCAAGAATATGTTTTTTTTTTTCAAGAATGTAAATATTATGCTTAAAGAATATCGATTATAAATTTGTAATTCATGTCTTCTTCTTCAAGAATAAGAATGATAGAAATGAAAATTTAATTGTACCACTAGAGAACGTTCAAAACAATCTACAAGAAAATCGATCTCAAAAGTTAATTTCAAAACTAATAGTTTGTATTCTTAAAGAGTGGAGAATAATCAACAAAATCAACCAAAAGAATTTCAAATATGTAAAATTTAGTATACCGTATTCCTAAATAATGCACGGAATGATCACGAAAAGAATGGAAATTGAATTAAAAATTTATTTTTCTAGAATGAGAATGATAATAAAAGAAATTGAATTCTGGAAACTTTTAATTAATCTTAATATTTCTTTTTAAATTTTAATTTATATTAATTAATTTGACTAAGTTGCGTAAAATATAGGTAATTATTCAATTCTCGTTCTTAGTAAAATGATATATTTATCTATATAATTAATTAATTGTAGTTATAAAGTAGACGCTAGTCCATATTAATAACATGCAGTCCATATTAATAACATGTAGCTTAAAATCATATCCATTCATTCTTTTAATCTAATAGTCATAATTTGGTCATACGTTTACACAATAATTGTGATTCACATTTGATCCTAACTATATATATATATATATATATATATATATATATATATATATATATATATATATATATATATATATATATTTTCCGTTAAAAAAAAAACGGTCACAAAAAGCACATAATCACAGCCTCTCATGCATGTACAAACGAAGTTCATTATTTGAAAATTACACCAACTCAATTAATTCATTTTTAAGATACAATATCTTTTAGACAATAAGATTTATTCAAGCCAATCACTAAAACACACTTAGTACTTAATATTCATTTAAAAAACGTAGATCATGAAGATCGGTATTGCATACCTATTTATCATCGCATGCACCTTATTAGAATGAGATATCCAAACCATGAAACTTTTCCATCGTAATGTCATCCAAAATCTGGGTCATTTCATTTGTAAGATAATTCCTCCATCCTCCAACCTTCCCTTCCCTAAAGAAACTGCCATTAGGGATACCCTTACGGAAATCCCCATTCTTATTAACATCCTTTAAATTTTCAAAACTACATAGCATCACAATCTCATCCACCACACCATTGGCCACTTCCTCCTCCGTGAAAGGAAATCCCAAGAACTCTGCCAAACGCTTCAGTTTACTTGCAGTATCTACTTTCATGTCCTCAAATGTTAAAAATAGAACCTTTGTTGGATCTTCAGAACTAGCCTTATGGTACTCTTTTACATGATCCCAGTAAGGTCCATATGGCATAAAACCTTTAGCATACACATCAAGCATCTCACCGATGGTCATTTGGGTACGAGACTTATCTTTCAAGTTGTTTGCAAAGTGAAACCAAGAGACCAAAACATCCTTAGGGTTCCTACACATGTAAACTAATCGACATCCATAATCAAGAACGGATTTAGGTAATGCGTTGTAAGGTATATGGCTAGCGAAGAGACGTGGTGAATCTGCATGGCCATAAGTAGGAATGTTTCTAACGATTTCGGTCTCAAGGAAAGGCACACATTTGTGGGGGTTATAAATGTTTAGAGGGTGACTTGACGGTTTGATGTTTTTATACTTTGTTCTGTTCACGATAGCAAACACGATGGCCTTAATCCATGTTGTACCACACTTTGGTTGTGTAACGATGTAGATATCAGTTGATTGAGCTTGAAAGTTTTCTTGCACAGCCATCGTTGTTTCAATTGAGAATGCATTTTCCGAGATGTACCAAAATCCTTGATACATGTAAACATCTTGACCCATCCAACCTTTTTCTCTTGGAAATCGGGTAATCTTTTCCTTGTATCTATCCAAAAGGAGGGTGAGATTTTTTTTTTCGTGTTCATCATGATCTGAATTAGGTTCAGATGCCAGTGAAACATCAGGGATCGACATTGGAAGGATGTTTATGTGTGGAGTGAAATGAAGTTAGTTCTTACTATATATATAGACACAATTGGTGGCCAAAATTTGAATATAGAAGCTTTGTAGTTTTGTCAATAACATCATACAAAACGTGGGGCACATTGTTCTCATGATTAACTTTAGCAAGAATTATGTTTTAAATTAGAACCGCCTGGTAAAGTGGTAGTAATCTTTTTAATTGAATATTCCTAAAATATTTTACATATTTGGTCCCTGTCATATACAAAAATTGGCAAGTTCGGTCAATATTTGAAATTATCCTAATGTCATCGTTATTTTACCTTTTTATTGCCAATTTAATC